CTCATATCCACCCACATTCCACATAAAAATGGAAATTAATGGAAAGCTATTGTCTTCTAGCATCTTTTTTTCTCATCAGTTCTTGGCAAAACATTTGTTACCAAATCCTTTTTTGTTGGAGCTGTAAAGTAGTGTAGACCATTATTTATACGACCCAGTCGCTACTGATCCATTATATTGGAAAAAACTCCATCACCTCTGGGAAACTAAATAGTCTATCTCATTGACTGGAAAATATTTTAAGTCCATCTGAAATAAATGGCTTTCTGCTTGTTGAATGAAAGGGTCCTTTCCGTCTGAAATTTCTTTCTTCCTATTTTTCTGTTTCTACATTCCAGAGAACTGACTTTGAAGTCAGATTGTTCTGACTTTTTTTAATCCTGGCTCCACCACTTTCTGAGCACCTGACCTTGGTTTAGTCATTTGACCTCTCTGGGTCTCAGTTTCTTTATCTGTGAAGTGGGGAAGCGTGGTAGCCATGAGCACATATGAGCACGCATGAACACACATGAACACACATGGACCTCACGGGCCTCCTGCTCTGCTCTGAACCCCTCTGTGGACTGGCATTGGGCACATTTTCCCCCGGGTGGCTCCAAGCTATGGACTGAGTATGGCAGGAACCTACAAAGGCCTCTCTGGGGAGAACCAGGACTTGTCAAAGGGTCGATGCAGCTCCTCGGAGGCCTTGCTGAAGGTCCCTAGCAAAGTGTTTAGCAGAGTGGCGGGCACAAGATAAGTGATTGCTACATGCCAGGACTTCTCCTTACCTTTACTGCCATCAACATCTGCCAATTTTGCTTCTTTACTGCCTTCAGACAGAGAGTTCCGGGAGCACACCCCAGGCCAGAAGGCAACTTTGTATGAGAGCGAGAGTAATGATGGTTTCTGAGGAAAAGAATGGATGAATTAAAACACCCTTTAAAGATTTATCCAAGGGCCTCCTTGGTGGCTCAGGGGTTATCAAGCCATCACCAGCCACTGCAGCACAAGTTCGATCCCCGGCCAGGGAGCTGACCCACATGGCACAGCAGACCTCTCTTGTCTCTCCTGCTGCACCCCTCAGCAGTGTATTTCAGTCAGTCTGCCTGTTCTACTCCCCACTCTGTCTCTGGTGAATCCTCTCACTTCCCCACATCTCTGGCCTATACCCCAGCTCTTGTTTGCATAAATAAATTAAAAAATAAATCTTAAAAAAAAACACAAAGAGGGCCTCCCCTGGTGGCGCAGTGGTCGAGTGCTGGGCTGCGAAGCTGCCTGCAGCCTCTGTAGCACCGGTTCAATCCCTGGCCTCCAGTGAGGGTCCCACATGGCACGCAGACCTCTCCTGCCGCTCCCGCTGCTCCCTTCAGCAGTGTACTTTGTCTGTCTGCCTGTTCTGTTCCCTATCTGGCTCTGGTGAATTCTCTCACCCTCCTGCGCCTCTGACTGTACCCAGTGCTTGTATAAATAAATAAATAAATCTTTAAAAAAAAAAGCTTAAAAAAAAAAAAACGCAAAGATTTACCCAAGTCAAAGAAAAGGCACAAACCAAATCCTTTCTCAGCCACTGAAATGAACAGTCATCTTTGCTAAAGCAACCAAAGCTGGTTTTACCCAAAATACCCAAAATGTTCAGTGACATGCTGAGGTCCCTGCTGAGACTGCTGACAGCTGTGGATGTACAGGCCAGTAATCCAGAGCAGTGTATTTGCTGTTCCCGACAATCCTGTGTGGGTAAAAATCCTGTTATTACTCACTCTTCACAGATAAGAAAACAGAGAAACTAAGTGACAGGTTCAAGGTCACCCAGCCACTGATGAGTTGGTTGGGACTGAAACTCTGGGTTTTGTTCCTGGTGCTTTGGAAGCTCGGGAGTTGGTGGATTCTGTTCAAACTCAGCTCCCTGCGATAGTCTCCTGGCAAACTGGCCCAGGAACTGGCCTGAAAAGACCTTTCTCAAGTCCAGATCAGCCCAGCCTCAGGCATGCTGGTGCCCTGGCACTGCCCAGGATGCGGGTTGTACAGGGACCCAGTTCACTGACCGCCATGCTCGAGGCCATCGCTTGTCACCCTTTTAGCCTTCGTCAGGATGTTTGCAACCTGGTGCTGTGACGCATGTTCCTAGTGTTGCATGTCAGTCCCCAAAGCCTGAAGGGACCATGACTCAGTGATTTATCCCACCCCACACAGCCCCTCAGCCCATCTGGTGTTTAGTAAATGCCTGTTATTGAGGGACGTGTCGATTCTGATGGGGCTTTCATTATAGTTGAAGGAATCGTCATCCTCCTCAACAATGACAATAAAACCAGGACTGTCATTTGCCCTGTGCCAGGCACTGTGCCATGAAGTGGAGACCCAATGATTAAAAGACAAGCTTTTGAGCGCCAAAGCTTGTGAGGAGATGGGCATGATGAGTCTGTCAGGGGAGCCCAGGAAGACTTCATGGAGGAGGCAACTCTGAGCTGAGACTGAGAAAGATGAGAGTTTCCCAGGCAGATGCGGCTGGGGAAGGAACTACTGGCTGAAGGGGCTGGGCTGGAGGACCTGCTGTTCATTGTTCCTGGAATAAGGTGTTTGTTATCCGTTTGACGCTGCCCATCCACATAGTCTGTGTGGTTTGGACGTGCCAGTGGACCTTCCTTCCCTTTGCTCTTCATTCATCTGCTGAGCCATCATTGTCCACCTACTGAGTGCCAGGCACAGTACACGGCATGGGATGGGGATGGGGCCATGGAGCCATGAGTTGAAAGAAAGAGGCTTTGTTAATGGCACAGTGTAGTGAGGGCTCCCCAAGGGGGACCTTATCTTGTGTGTGTGTGTGTGTGTGTGTGTGTGTGTGTGTGTGTGTGTATAGTTTCCTGTTGCTGCTGTAACAAATTCCACAACTTATTGCCATAGTTACAACTTTATTATCTTTTGATTCTGGAGACTAGAAATTCTAAATTTGTCTCACTGATTGAAATCAAGGCGTAGGTGGGGGTGGTTCCTTCTGAAAGTGCGGGAGGAGAAATCTGCTCCCTGCTTTTTCTAGTGTCTAGAGGCTGACTGCACCTCTTGGCTTGTGGCCACATTGCTCTGACCTCTGCTTCCCTCCTCGCAGGTCCTTCTTTCTGTGACCCTCCCGCCTCCCTCTCCTAAGGTTGCTGGTAATTTCACTGGGCCCACACAGGTCATCCAGGCCAAGCCTCTCATCTCAAGGCCTCTAACTGAATAGCATCTTTTGTCATGCATGTTAACAAATTCTTAGGTCCCAGGGATGAGGATATGGGCATAGTTGGGGGTCATTATTTTACTGCCCACAGGTGAAGCAGGAGAGAAAGGGAAGAGATGCTTTCAGAAGTGACACTTCAGCCCAGATTTATGAGTCAGAATGTGGGGGGAAAACAGAAGCAGGAGGCTGCTGGATTGGTCCAGACAAGATATAATATTGGCCCCATGAGGCTGGTGGCTGTGGGGATGGTGAGAGCCACAAGGGACTGAGGTATAGGGAGGAGGTGGAGTGAATGGCAAATTTGGGCAAGGTTGAAAAAAAGCCGTTCTGGACAAGATTCCCCATCTCAGGATCAACAAGGGCAGGTAGGAACCTGAAGGGGAGGGTTAGCAAGGACACAGTGCCCTGCCTGCTGGTTCTAATTCTCAATATCTTTCACTCTGAGATTCCAGAGAATGTTGTGTTTCTGTAAATCAGAAGGAAATGTAACATTTAATGATTTTATTTGATAGAAAAACATACGATAAAAGATTGATGTTCAGCTTGACGTCCAAAGAGAAAGAACTGGTTTTGAGGCTCCAGGAGTTAAGGCAGGTGCTGACAAACCTAGGTTCTTCCAGGGGGCCACCCTCCAGCCAGGTGTGGCCAGGGTCATTGGTGACATTCCCGTGCTTTTATTTACCCTGAGCTCCCCACGGTGGAGACTGAACAGCTCTCATGTGAGAGGGCTTGTTTGCCCCACTTAGGTAATTAGGTTTGTCATCTCCTAATACTTTATTTCCACAACATCCCGGCTGCACTGTGGCATAGGGCATAATATGAGTTAGAATAATAAAGGGAGAACAAATCGAAGTGCACTGACTGTGCATTGCTGCCTAAGATGGATTTTCGAAATGCATGATAGCGCAACCAGTGTCATCCTACCCTGGACTTCCTGCCTTTGCAGGAAAGTCTCCAGCTAACATATTTATTTGCCTGGTAATGAAATTACCCTAGCGGGGAATATTGGCCTTTGAGAATTCGATGTGTTCTGAAAACCAGGGGAAATTTCCTTTATTTGGAAGAAAGTAGACCCACTCTTTTACTAATAGATCAGGAGCAATTACATTGTCATCAACTTTTCTCTTGAGGAATACAGTTAGGATGTACATTTCTTTTTTTTCTTTTTTCAGACAACCAGGTTAATTGGCACAAGTCATCTCTTATTGTTTCCCTGCCTGCTTTTGGTTACCCCCTTCTTCTTCTCTCACACTTCCTTTACCGTATGTGTGTGTCTGATTTCTGGGCCCGTCTCTCCTAGCTCGCTCAGGCTGCCTTTCTTTGTTTTGCGACTGCAGCCCTGGATAAAAGGGACCTTTTTAAGTTCCTCCATGTTCATTTCTGCTCGGCTCTTGGACAGAATGGCTGGCTCGCCCTCTTCTTTTTATTCCTCCAGGTTGAACTCTCTACCTCTGATCAGATGTGGTGATCTGTCATATCTCGTCCACTTTGCTCAAACCAGGGGGCAGAGGGAGGAGATGAATGACAGTAGCAGAGACACAGCTTTCCAAATTGGATGGTGGTAGAAAAATATAAGCATTTCAAATGCAATTAATACTTAAAAAATTAATCTAGCACGGCTGGTGCTCATTTTTGTAGAACTCAAGCAGGCACCTAGCAACTGAGCAAGTTCCCGGACTGCACCGTTTTTAATCCTCCCATTCGAAAGCCGGCTGGAGAAAGACATCTGTGCTTTGTTTCTCACAGGTTCTGTGCTTCGTATTTATAAACAAACTCTCTCTGCCCCTCTCCCTCCCCCTTTCCTCAGTGGCCGTTCCTGCAGCCGCGCCCCCGGTGTGCCAGTCCAAGGGCACGAGTAACGGGCACTACCCGGCCCCACGCCTGTCCATCTCCTCCCGCGCCACGGTGGTAGCCAGGATGGAAGGCACCTCCCAGGGGGGCCTGCAGACCGTCATGAAGTGGAAAACGGTGGTCGCCATCTTTGTGGTCGTGGTGGTCTACCTGGTCACGGGCGGCCTGGTCTTCCGCGCGCTGGAGCAGCCCTTTGAGAGCAGCCAGAAGAATACCATCGCCCTGGAGAAGGCCGAATTCCTGCGGGACCACGTGTGTGTGAGCCCCCAGGAGCTGGAGACCTTGATCCAGGTGAGTAGGGGTGCCGAACCATGGCCGCCCGTGGGGAGAAAGGACAGCCTCGGTGTGCTCCTTCTGGCTCACTTTCTGCTCACATCCCTTATGCCGTCTTTGGATGGGCGGCGAGGGCCTCTCTGGGGAGGCTAGGGCCTCTCTGAGCTGAGCCCTCAAGGAAACTGAGAGCAAGGCAGTGGCCCACGTGGGGACTGGCCAGGTTCTGCGTCATGGCTCTTGGATGTGGTGGTCAGGGCTTTGGAGTTTCAAATTCAAGTCCACCCGCGCGTGCTGGTTACCTTTCTCTTCTGAGGTCTGGGCTGAGAGGGAGGCCTAGACTTCAGAGAATTTTAATAAGCAGAGCTATATTAACCTGCCCAAGGTCCACGAGATGAAGCCAAGTAAAGGCCACCAGGTGTGGCAGGAGAAGAGTGTTGGTGACTTAGGAGAGAAGTTTAGGTCAATTAATGGGTTTGAGATAATAAAGATAATAGAAATAAGCACACTGTGCTTTTCATCACACAGTGTGTCAGGCACGGTGCTGAGGCCCATACCTGCCTGGGCTATTAAGGAAAAAAGATCCATGGGGAAATGGAGGCAGAGAACTGGGCTCCAACCCAGAGAAGCAAGGCTTGAAAGCAGGGTGGGGTGGGCTTGGCAGGGTGAACTGGAGCTGGGAAAGTCTGGGAGGAGAGTCCCCCAAGGTGATGTGATGGCAGGACATGCATCAGGAAGACTGAGAGGCCATTGGAGTTGGCGAGAACTGAGTCCCAGAAGGAGAAGGGCCTGTGTCTGGAGCCCAGTTGGAGGGCTTCTTCTGGAAAGTGAGGAAGGATGGCAGTCTGTGGGGCTGCAGCTGATTTCCTGTCCTACGTCCCCACCTGAACCACGAAGGGTACCCCCGGGGAAGGTGGTGGCATTATGGATGCAAGGGAGGCTCATCATTTCAGGAGTCCTAAAACTTGAAAGGGAGAGATGTGGAAAAGATGGCTTCCCTCACACCTTCTGGCTCCGGGTTACTCATGTTAAATCAAAGGGCTACTGCAACCCTGAATCTGTAGGATTGGCAAGACTGGGCTGGCTGATTATTTATTTCAAATAACATTGGCAGGATAGGGGAATTCTGAGGCCACTTAGGATCTGGTACATACATAGAAGTTGTGTTCTTTTAAATTAGTTTTGATAATCTGCCTTGACTCTTAAATAGATAGACATATGTATATATTTTAAAATTTTATTTAATTTTGTTTATTTTTATGTAGAAGATTTGGGGTGTAGGCCAGAAGTGGGGGCAGTTGGGAAGATTCACCAGAGACAGAGTGGGGAGTAGAACAGGTATTTTTACTCTCAGAATATGTATGATTTCATACCTGTGCCTTACAATTTTTATTTAAAAATAAGACTAAAAATGCTAAAATCCAAGGGCAGTGTTTTCCTATTACTCTGTCTTGGGCAGTATTGTCTTTTTTCTCCTTTCATCAGAAAATACTACCAAATTTGTGGTGATCTGTGCCAGAGTCTTAAGGTCTAGAAAGTCACAGACAATGAAAGTTGCAATTCTGGAGTAGTTGTAAGAAAGAATGGAGCTATGTTATCCAGGCTGTCATGTGGAGTGAGATCATTTTAGTTACAAGACACACAATCACTTCAAAGATGGATGAATTGAATCTCGATTCATGCCCGAATTTTTCTTCCTTACACAGGGAGAATCTTGAGGAAAAGAGAGCGTTTCTTATTATCTTTGCATCCACGTGTGGATGACGCATTGTTTGTGGTTAATTATTGCCCCATAAGGAAATGTTTTTGAACTGAAATATCAAAATCTACAACCTGGCGTTGCCATAAGCTCTCTGGGCTTAATTACACCTTTGTTCATTTCCTTTCTGAAAGAACTCAGAAGACAGAATGAAGAACAGGTTGGTGGAGTCTGGAGGCTGCTGCTGCCACTAAGGCCTTTCCCCTGGTTTCACCTCGAAAGTGTCTCTGTAAGATGAGGTGTGCATGCATGCATGTGTGTGCCTGCCCTTGAGGTCATTTTTTATAACAATTAAAAAAGCCTTTTATTAGGTCCTTGCTATGAGCTAGACACCTTGCATCCCTTCTAGCATTAAGCTTTCCAACCACACCCAAAGTTGGTGTTATTAGGCCCATTTTACAGGTTAGGAAATTGATGCTAAAAAGAGATTGAGTAACTTCCCAGACATTGAGGTGGAAGTGGCAGAGCTGGGGTGCTAAGTGCCTGGCCTGCCCCAGTGAGCCTCCCAGCCCTGTAAGAAAGTCTTGCTTCATTCTAGGCTTACCTCTCCTGTAAACATTTTTTTTTTAAAGATTTATTTATACAAGCACTGGGTACAGTCAGAAGCGTGGGAGGGTGAGAGAATTCACCAGAGCCAGAGCGGGGAACAGAACAGGCAGACAGACGGAGGACACTGCTGAGGGGAGCAGCGGGCACGGCAGGAGAGGTCTGCGCGCCATGTGGGACCCTCGCCAGCGGCTGGGGATCGAACTGGTGCAGTAGAGGCCACAGGCAGCTCCGCAGCCCAGCGTTCAACTGCTGTGCCACCAGGGAGGCCTTCTCCTGTAAACATTTGCTGGATGTCAAACACTTTCCAAAATTTTAGCAGCTGAAGAACATTGGAGCTCCTTGTTCCCTGACCAAAAGCATTTCTCTATTTCTTGTCCTTTTCCCCAAGGAGTATCAGTCTTGCACCTGGTGTACCTTAAGATCTCCAGTTACTGTGATTACAGGATTTATACTGAATATTGTCTTTCTCACAATAGACGCTAAGCAGGTTTACGTGCTGACCTTGTGTCAATCAGGAATTAACCCATCACATTTTGTCCTCCAGGTCAATTTGATTCCTTCGTAGGATGAAAATGTCCACACTGTGGGCTGGGGAGTGTTGCCTCACCATACTCATTAAAAAATCCAGCATTTGGGTGGAGTTTCAATGTGGTGTGCTCTACACTGGAAGAATAATATTATTGTATCTCACCAGAGTCTGAAAAGAGTGATTGATAGTAAAAAAATTATACAGATAGTAATTATCTGGTAATGGCAGGATTCTAGACTGGATTCTAGACCTCATAAAGCTGAGCTGGGAGGTGTGGCCTATGTCATTAATACAAACACAGATTAAGCAGAACTGCACACTCCCTGAAATGTCTCCAGAACTTAGAACCATAGCTCGGAGGAGGGGCTTCCAATGAACTGCGCCACTTGAAGGGGTAATGTGGGACTCCAGGAGAAAATGATGGGTCATCACTCCTGAAAGGGGAGGAAAGATGAATTGTTGTTATGGAGGAGATGTCTCATTCATTCATTCCCACATTCTTTAAATTGTTTTTGAACTCCTACTGTGTGTTACTGAACTCCTACTGTGTGTTCAGGTAACACACTAGGTGTTGGCGTAGAATAAATAAGACACACCTCAAGCAAGATACTAACCTCTCTGAGATCCTGTTTCTTTGCCAATAAAATACACCTAAAGCCCCTCACCCTTGGGGTTTTGAGAGGATTCAGATCTATAATTCATGAGAAAGGCTTTGAACAATGCTGGACATGTGGTGAATGCTCAAAAAAAAAAAAAAAAAAGTATTGCCGCTGCTGCTGTTAGTGTTATTTGAGGATCTCAGGGTTGCAAGCAGTGGTTTTTAATGGGGAAGGAATTTGCCCCGGGGGCATCTATCAATGTCTGCAGATAGTTTTGGTCATAACAACTGGGAGATGCAGACCTGGAGTGGGAAGAGGCCAGGGGTGCTGCCTCCAATGCCCTGGGTGGCCCCTCATCACAAAGAATTATCCAGTCCAACATGTCAGTAGGGTAAGGAGCGCTGGAGGAAGAGGCACATAAACCACTAATTAGAAGTAATTGGAATGGAGCGATTTGAAATACATAAAAAGTGGAAGTTGCGGTGAGGAAATGAGAAAATTTTATGGCAGCTGGTTATCTCCTCTAGTCCCCACAGCTCTTCTATGAGGATTGTCTTTGTGCCCATTTACAGAGGAGGAAATGAGGAAAGAGGAGGTGAAGTTACGTGCTCAAGGTCACCTGTTAGTAAGCAGGATTCAAGCCCAGGTGTCTGATCGTGTTTCCCGGGCTCTTCGCCACCACACACTCATGCAGAAATGAGGAACATGGTAGATCATGGGTGAAAGTCATCCCGACCTCGTGTGTGGTCTGTCCAGGGAGCTTCAAGTGGCCACTGTGGCTTGAGGTGTAGGGTCTGGGGAGGGAGGAGGCTGGAGGGGGTGAGTGGGGTTTATACTGTGGGAAGTGGGGAGTCACTGAAAGACTGAAGCCAGGTAGTGACATGATGGAAATTTTCAGTTGGAGAACTAACTCTTTTAGCAATGGGTTGTTGGGTTGGAGGGTGTTGGATGAAGAAACTGGAGGAAGAAAAATCAAGGGGAAGATGGCAACAGGACAGGTGAGAAATGGGAAGAGATGAAGGGCCACACTGAAGAGAATTCCACAAAGGAGACTTGAAATCATTCATTTTTATGGGTGCTTTGGTGGCAGTGGTCGCAAGGGTAACCACACCTGAAGGGGGTTCCTCTACTCCCAAAATACAAACGATGATGTAAATAAACCAGCATTACCTCAGTAGAAACAGCAAGAAAGCAAATGACTCTTTCCCCTTCAGCAAGGGCTTCGGTGGTGCCCGTTGGGCAGAGTCCACTGAGCAGCCGCATAACTGGAGATGCTTTCAAATCCTGACTTTTCTAATTGACAGATTTTCTTGCCTCGCCTCTACTGTTAAAGTGCAAGTTCCCCCAAGGGCCAGGTACTGGGTAGGGCCACCAGCATTCCTGTGGGGTGTCTTTGGGGCTTGAGCTCAATGCGTAGCAGTTTTTGAGTCCTTTGAGAGTGCTTATCCCCGCTACCTGGATTGTCATCTCTATCCTGATTGTCATCTACCTGGATTGTCATCTCTATCCTGATTGTCATCTGCCTGGATTGTCATCTCTATCCTGATTGTCATCTACCTGGATTGTCATCTCTATCCTGATTGTC